GTGCTCAGTACACTGTGAACAACATTAAAATGAAGGAAGCCATGATATCTGAACATGAGGTATTCAGCTGTACTTTTCCCAAAGCAGTTGCCTGGGACCATCTTGCCACCTACTGGAACTATGTAAATATACATTCCTATAGAAAGTTGTGCTTTTTAACTTCTACGAGCAGCATGAAATAACTCAGAAACCACTACACTCTGAAACCAGTACTCTGGATATTGGTAGCATACAGCCAAAAAATGATTATTTAACATGATATTTTATTAGGTACCATAGGGCAAATAAATGCCCAATTCTGCATTCTCTACCTACTCAAAGCTCTCCTGTCAGTATGTGTATGGGGCAGGATTGGACCCTGAGTTTGAATGCACATCTGGCTATAAAATGTGTGTAATTGAGGGCCAGATTCTGGTGAAACCTGTGTAAAGCCAAAGTAAATCCACTGAAGTCAATGGGATTGGTTGAAGTGTATGTAATTTGGCTCAGAACTTGACCCCCTGTTTGCAGAAATTTCTCAGTCAAAATGCATGTCATCCTTTTAGGTAACGGGCCCAATCCAGCTCAGTGAGACTTTACAATGAACTTCAGTGGAAGCTGGGTCAGGTCCCTGATTAGAATATCTGAAGAATGTCTGAACTCCTTGGGTGTTTGTTATTCTAAGTTTTCTAGGACAGTTCCTTTCCAATGAGTGGGTGTGGATGGTCCTCACCCTACTTCTATAAGGAGTTCACACTCATAGCCACAAAGGTGTTTAGTCTCCAAACTTTGCCTTAGTGGCTAGCCCAGTCCCCCAAAAAGTCTGCTACCATCTTATATGAAAGGAGAGCTCCTTTAGTTCAAGTGGTAGAGACTGCTGGTTTTGGTGCTGATGTTACTGCATGTGTATTCAATCAGTTCACTCCCAAAGGAAGGGAATGCAGAATTGAAAGTCCCCAGTGTTGCTGCTGATGCATGAGGCAGAATAGAACCGAACTTGCTCTCCTCTATTTGTACTGGATCTGATAATAGCCACATTTCAAACAAATCAAATATTTTCAAGGAGTCATTTTTTTCCTAAGACAAACTGAACAGTCCACTTTATAGTCTGCTCTCAAGTATGAAAAAAAGATAGCACGGAGGTATTTTTCTCCCCAATTTTTTTTTTTTTTAAATAATGCCTCAGCTTGAATACTTCCTTTCAATCTGGCACAAATTAAAATGGCTGAGTTAGAACTCTATCAAAAATGGGGTTTATAATAGGAACATTCTCAGGTCCTTTACTTTAGCTCTAGTGAGCACTGGTTTAATAACTGCCAGTTTATTAGGTTGAGGGTAAATTATTGCATTTTAATCTGCCATTATTCAGCCATCTGAAAAAAAAAAATTGGACTCAGGAACATATTCAGGATTTCCGGCTCTACGCCAACAGAAGTTGGTTGTGTTTCAAAAACAATATGCCAGAGACAATGATCTTACAATATGTTATGCTTGTAATGCTGTTACAACCTTGTTAGATACTCCATAGAGGAAAACTGACATCATCTCCAAAAAGTGCCATCTGCTGACCTTTCTCCCCTGAAATGGAGAGCATCAAATTAAAAATGAATACAGTTAAAAAAAATACTGTGATATTAAGAGACATTAAAACTTAGGACATTTTTGTTAAAATGATTAAGGGGTATTGAATGACCAGTGAAAAAAATCATAATGGAATATGGAGTACTTGTGGCACTGATGAAGTGGGTTTTAGCCCAAGAAAGCTTATACCCAAATAAATTTGTTAGTCTCTAAGGTGCCACAAGTACTCCTCGTTCTTTTTGCTGATACAGACTAACACGGCTACCAGTCTGAAACCTGTCATAATGGAATATGTTCATTTTATGAACATGTTATAAGTGCTGTAAATGTACATAGAATTTTTTTAGGTCTAAACTGTGCTGAAAAAAGAACAAAAGCTCAGCCCTACAGTTCACAGCATCTTTTGTCTAAGGAGCTTCTGTTGCTTTACAGGTTTAATTATTTATTTCCATGCCATGTGAAGTAAGTATCATTATCTCAATTTTACAGATAGGGAAACTAGACACAGAGAGATTTAAGGGCCAGTTTTGAAACCATGACTCTTACTTAAGTGGGACTACTTGTGCAAGTAAGTACTACTCAGCAGGAATAATGGTTGCTAACTCAAGCTCTTTGAGGCTTGCAACGGTTGCAAAGTGAATAAGTGGCAACGTCAGAAACAAAACTTTGGAGTCTTGACTAGTAGTTTCCTACTCTAATGGCTAGACTACAAAAATAGTAGAAAAAAACCCATATTTCCATTCCAGTGATATTATTACTGTTTTATTTGTACTGCTGTAGCACCTAGAAACTCCAGTAAGGGATCAGGGCCCCATTGTGCTAGGTGCTATACAAATATATCAAAAAGACTTTCTATTCTCCAAAAAAAGTGCATAATTTACATATAGGACGAGAATCGACGTGTGGATGAAAGTGACTGGAGGGGGAGCACCACGTAACAATAAGATCATTATGATCAGCAAGACAAGCAGCAGTCACACAGGTCATATATACTAGTGCTTAACATGTATGCAATACTTCTCATCTTCAAAATGCAAATTATGACGGCTCCAGTGGAAGAGGTAAGGAACAGAACCCAGTAGTCCTGATACCTGATCTCATGCTCTAGGTATTAACCAAGTTGCTTCACTGCCTAGAAACAGAAGGAGAAATCAAAAGAATCATGCAGAATCTATAACGAAAAATCTCTGAGTTGAGCCAATGGGCAGGTCAGCCATCCATCTCTCTTTTGACACACTTTGGAGGCTCTGCAGGACAGGGACTCCCTGCAGCTTGTTTTTGAAGCTGTTTAGGCAAAAGTATTTTATTTACTTGTTTGAGTTTTAGTCAGGGTTGGCCCTTTGGAGTTATTCATAATATTGTTTGTTTAGTTATTTCCTTTGTATCTTCATTTTGTTTGTTTTGATTGCCTTTTTCCTCTTGTACGGGTTTATTTAGATAATCTTTGGATTGTGTCTGTTTTCTTAGTGAAATACCTAGCTGAAACAAAAACAATTGTTGGAACATACTATCTGTATCAAATCTATTGGTTTGTCAGTTATGCTCAGATACATTTGATCCTGTCGTCATGTATCTTACCCTTGAAAAGGTTGCAAACCTCCTGAGATAGTAGAGATGTTCTTTTAGCTGAAACTGGAAAATCGCTCACTTGGGAACCTAGATTCTGATCCCACTTTGAGATTTCTCTTTGTAAATGAGTTTATTAATTGACTTGCAACAGATGCCTTTTACTTCTACTGAGGGATGTGGAGACCTCTACTGTTCTAAGAGAGCCTTGAAAATGATTACATAACAATATTAAGTAATGTTTGCTTTTTCAAAAACAGATTTAAAGTATTTGTTAAAGGCCTAAAATTAAGAATGAAAACACTTATACTGAATAGTGGAATACACATGGTATGATCTACCATTGACCTCACTGACTTACCATCTTTCACTGAGGAAGCTACAGAAACAGCATTGTTTTTATGCTACACTGATTCAGTGGGGTGGATCCCTTGCCCCATGCGATTATGACCATACTACTCCCATAGGGTGTTCCAGCTGAGAATGTCAGAGCCCTTCAGAAACACAAATGGACTAAGCTTCCACTTCCAATGGTGGGGTACTTTAGAGAGGGGTAAATCGAGGCACAGAGGTTAAGGGACATGCCTAGCGCCAATTGGTGGTAGGACTGGGAATTGAACCCAGGAATGCTTGTAGCCAGGCCTCACTTCCACTTGCCCCAGCTATCCATCCCTCAGCTCTAACCAGAACCCAGGAATCCTGACCCCAAGCCCCATACCACCCTCTCCTCAGCTACGGCCCACCGGTAGGAACTCTGCTACCCCACCTAGGCAGATTAGTGTCCCTCCCTCTCCCCGCTGGCTGCAGGTGTTCTCCTTGCCCCCTCCTATTTTATGATTGGCTGCCTCGCTTCAGCTCGCCAGGTAACGGATACCGCTCTCTGATTGGCCAGGCCTGGGCGGTATCCCTCTGTGGGCGTGGTTTCAGGTGGGCGGCGCTTGCTATTGGTCGGCAGGTAGGGTGGGAGGTGCTCCAGTGGCTGTTGTGGCCGCTAACCTGCTGGCTTAGGCCGCCATGTTCGGAGTGGTAGCGGCGGCGCTAGGGCCGCTGCACGGGGGTCGCCGCTGAGCCGGGCGCGGGGTGGGAAGTGGGGGGGGGCTTCCGGGGGTGCGGGCCGCCTCCTGAGGGGGGACCCCAGGCGCGGGGAGGAGGGACCGAGTCCGACCCCAACTTCCTGCCGGGACTTCGGGCAACTTCCAGCCCGGGGGCGGGGGAAGCCGGGGCGGGGTTAGGCTGAGGGGCTGTTGGGGGGCGGGGGGGCCCGGGCCGCACTCCTGGGGGGACCCACTTCAGCTGGCGCCGCAGCAGGTAGGAGACAGCCCTCCCCCCACCGCCCCTGTGCTGGGGGGCGTCGCTCCTTCCGCTCGGCTGGTACCCCAGACCTAGAGCCGGGCTGGGGGGGGGGGGGCACCCCCGCGCCTGCCTCCCACCCCCGCGCGGGTAAGGAGCCTGCGGGCACCAAGCAGGGCCACGCTCCCCCCACACCGGCCGTGACCCAGCGCTGCAGGGGGCTTGCCCCCAGCCACTGTGTGCCTGGCCCCCAACGGGGGAGCGCCTCCTCTCCGCAATAGGGAGCTCCCGCATGGGGAAGGCAGACTGTGCCCGGCTCCTAAGCACAGCGACCACAACGCCCTGAGTTGGGACACGGACCCTAGGAATAGGAACATCTGCAAACCAGCTAGTGGGGCCCAGACAGTAAAGGGATCACCACACTCTCTGAACCAGAGCTACCTGGGGAGGAATGACCCCAATATTCAAGGACTGACAAATCCTGTAGGCTATGCCCCCCCCCCCCAGCTGTTACACTCCTGCTTCAATATATACTTGGGGGTTTTTCAGATTATTAAACAGGTTCCTAACTAGGTCTCCCCACCCCCTAAAGGGAGGCCAACATGCAGCTGGAACCTTTTCCTTAGAGACCTAGTTAACATTGGTTTGGGATACAGCACTGTTTCTTCCCTATGGGAAAGTGAAAAACTGTGTGGCATGAAAAATGTGGGACTAGAAGAAGGATGAGTAAACAACTTTTCTGTAAATAAAGTGTCCCTTCCTTTCTCCAGTCTCTTAAAAAGAGCTTTTCTTGCAATATTTTTGGCCAGAAGTGGAAATATGAGAAGTTTTATTAGGAAACTCTGGGGGAAAAAATTGTTCTTGAAGCATTCAGATCCTAGTTTTGCCAACGGTGGAGACAGATTAATGTTCTGACAGTTGGAAGCTTATCTTATCTTCTCTTAACCTGAATAATTTTGTAAAATTAAATTTAACTGGCCCTATTATTTTTTGACATTACTATTTTTTTAATGCTTATCCCTCTGCTTGTTAGGTTCTTTAAAAAGATTTTATAAAGTTAAAGCAAGAGTACTACAAAAGTAATTTAAAAGCTGACATGTTTTTGCAGGACCAGGGTCTTGTGGCGGTGGGTAGTCTCGTTGATTTCTATGGTATATTGTGGGTAAAGTTAGTCATGTGTTTTAGTCATTGCAGGATCTAGCACTACATCTGTACTTTAATGTGTTCCAGTTTTTCTGTGTGTGTTCATTAACTCTCTATTTTTGCTTGTGTGTGCAGGTGGACTGGATATCATTGGGGAAAAAAGAACTTGTAAATTTCACTTGCTACTTCATTGGAATTTAGCATAACATTAGTGATTACTTGTACCCTCCAAACCAGTCAAATCTTTATGCCTGGAACATATTTGTCATTTAGACTTCTGTATTAGTACCATGCCTAGCAGAATGGGATCGAAAATGAATCTGAACAGAGACTTCATCAGAGTAAAAGCACATTATAATGGGTAAGTCATACAGTCCTTTCAGTGCTGCTTTATATGTGGTTTGTCACTTTAGTTACCAGCGAACAATAGTCCATGAACTCATTTAGTAATGCAGTAACCAAAGAGTTGATGGTTCCAATGGATACTAACAAATCATTTTGTGTACAAACAATGTTTGTAAATTTACCTGGATGTTAAAATGTTCATTTTTTTAAATTCCTGAATCTTTATGAATTACTGAGAGATGCATCTGACTTATTTTTGGTTAGCTTGTTTTTGGTTTCTGACCAAATCTGTTTTGAAACAGAAGTGTTGATGTATTTGCTGATCCAGTTTGAAGATTAATAAAACAATGTAGTCTGTTAAACCCAGGCACAGCTAATATATTTAATTGGTTTTCCTTAGGCCCCAGTCCTGCAATGAGTTCTGCATTGGCAGATTTCCATTAAAGTTAGTGGGGCTGTGCTTGCGAGCTGCTGTCCACCTGTATAGTTCTTATTGAAAGTTTGGGGATGTACGCTGTGAGCTCTTTGGGGCAGGAATTGTCTGTGTTTCTACAACACCTATCACAAAAGGGTCCTGATACTAGTTAGCGCTTTTGGGTGCTAATGTAATGCAAATAATAATTTATAGCTGCTATTATACTTGCATAATTAGAGGTATCGTTTCTGTGGTTAAAATTGTAGACTGTGCCAGCAACTGCCATTGTTTGGCTTGATTTCCCCCACCACCACCTTAATGAAAACTCAAAAGGATTGTCTGTCAGAGAAATACTTAGGCAGTTGTGGGAAATAAGTGTTTGGGTTTTAACCACAAATTATTAGTAAATCCAGTAAGAATATTTGCCTGCTATATTTAAAATTCAGTTATTAAAAATGAACTTTAAAAATCCAGTTTACCTTTCACTATTTATGTTGTTGGTCCATGTTGAGTGAAATGCAAACATCAAAGAGTTACAGTTACACCTATTACCTTCACTTTGGTTTATACTCACTTTCATTTCCTGGCAACTTCGCCAGCAGGTTGCTTTTGTTGTTTAGTTTCTAACATTGTAGGGAAATGTTACTTTTTAAATTGAATTTAAAACAATCACGAGAACACTTCTATCTAGTTTTGAATCCTGCGGCCTCCCTTTTTACTAAATATAACTGAGCTTAAAAGTAATTGACAGTGACTTTTTAACTTAGACTTGAGTTTTGGCCTTTTTCCCCGTAAGTTAAAAATATGTCGATCCCCAGTGTATTCATTGTCAGTAATTTGGTGTTTAGTGTAGTTATATTGTTTTTTTCAATAAGCAACCTCGTTTAGTAACAGTTGGAAAGAGGAGGACAAAACCAGGATGAAGAATTTAGTCTTTACAGACTGTGAAAGGGAGTAATAATATATTACTTTACTAAGGCTATGGCTATACTGCACCGCTGTAAACCCTCTAATATAGCTGCTCTAAGCTGAGGAGAGAGAGGTCTCCTGTCAGCTTAATTACTCCAGCCCCTGAGAGCAGCAGTAGTTGTGTAGGCAGGAGAAGTTCTCCCGCTGACATAGCGCTGTCCGCACTGGCACTTAAATCAGCGTAAATTATGTCACTTGGGGTGGCTAATTCACATCCCTGAGCAACATAATTTATGTCAAATTAAGCTATAGTGTAGCCATAGCCTCATACTCTGTTCTGATGCGTTAGTAGGATCGGCAAATAATGCCTTGAAAACAAAATGACTGGGTCCATGGATATATAGGGAAAGTTTTGCTCCTGCAGTGAAATGTGGCATAGTCTTGTGCCTAGGGTGGGGGGACTGGAAGACAGCTCCTTGATTGTAAAACTAGCCATACCATCAACTCTCATTCTAACCGTGAGCCAGTCACTTAATCTCTGTGTCTCGATTTACCCATCTGTAAAATGGAAATCCACCAGAACCTTTCTAATTCACACTTCATTACAGATATGATAATTTGCACATAAAAATATGTCCTCAAATATTTAATGAGGCCTTGTTTATAGTGAGGATTCATGTTAAGACTATCTTTCAAAATATATTGCAGGACATGATATTAAATTTATATAGCTAATATATATTTAATAGATTTGTTTTTATTATAATAGATGTGTAAGTGAATACATGTGAAAATAAATGAGCACAGCATATTTTGTGGTGCATTATTATTGCTGTTATAATGTTGCTCAGTAATTTGTGAAATTTTGATAATCAGCAGTGATTAGTGCTAATTAGCAAGGTTTTACTACCTGACAGGGCTGTTTGAGATTTAATGAGTACTTGTAAACAGCTTTGAGATCTTTGGATGAAAGGCTTGCACCATACAAGTGCTGCTAAGTGTGCCTAGTTTCAGTTCAGTAGAGATCTTTATCCTAAATTTATAAGACAATGTCAGTCTGGGTTTATGATTAAAGGATGTTCTCAATTTAATTATAGTAGCACTAGAGTGGTACTACATGTTTGAGATGTGAAAGCTGCTCTGAAACTGTGTAGTCCACAAATGTTATATCCAATATATATATGCACAACATTCAAACCCAATAAGTGTTTCCGGAATATAAAATGTGTAATTCTCCAAAAGTTTGCAAGGTATATGTATAGGCTTTGTTTAAGAATGAAGCAGACCTTTGAATATTTGAAATTTGTGGTAACATTTGATTCATTACTAGAATTCACTGGAAGGAATGTGAATATCATAAAAGGAATTAGTAAAAGCATTGAGAACATTTTTTGTACTTCCTGCAACAAGTATTCTGTAATTTTCCTGAGTCATGCAGATTGCATTTGTAGACAAAAATGGTTCTTTTTTCTTACAATTCATTCAGAACCTCTGAAGCATTCTAGCCATCATTGTTTAATGTTCTCAGTTGGAGAAGAGCAAAGCATCTGTCCCACTTACAAAGTAGAGGTCCCAGAATTACTGAATTTTGTCTTTGCTTTGTTGACACAAAGTTCTATGTTAAGTAACAGGTTTATGTAAAACAATTTATGGGCTAAAGCATAGCATGATGAGTGTTTCAGTATCTGTTCTGGATTCCTGCTTTCATATCTGCAGATGTAGTAAAACATACTATTTCAGAATTAGTGTCAAGAGTTATTCGGATAGCTGCTAAATAATTTAGAGCGCCAATTGGTAGTACAATATACCTTTTTGAAATTATGATTAAACAACTAGCCTGTTTACGTAAGGACGAGGAAGCTGCAAAAATCATGAATGTTGTGATTGTGTCTCCATGGAGTCTCAGGAGCTATGGCATTTGTATTTCTTGGGTGTAACAGAGTTCCTTATGTAGCAGAAATGACAGCATACGGAAACTGAAGTATAGAGCAAATTTGTGTAATTTCTCATTTCATTTTAAAAAAACATTTTGTTGCTTGTCTAGATTATGTATAATCCTCTGAAGTAATCTACATTAAATCCTATTGACTACAAATGAACTACATGACTCTGGTTAGCTTTGCCCTAGACAGCAAGATTCTAACCTTTGCAATGCCTCATCCCAAGAATGCAAGAAATGCTCTTAATCCAAGTATGTGCCCAACATTGGCCCGTTATGCCGCTTGATGGAGTCTGGTTTCTTAAATCTGACTGTGGAAAAGTGCATATCTAGTGGGATTCTTCAGTAAAGTTTATCAACAAATAGTCTTCATTCAGCTGTGCTCTGACCAGCTGATGTAGTTGTTGGCATTCAGATTTAATGTAGTAGATCTCAAAAGAATATATATAATTGACACTAGTTATTTGGATAAATACTGTACACAATTGCATCAGAAATAGATGCTGCTTGGGCAAAATAACAGTGGAAGTTTTTTCATCTGTACTTCTCTAATTAGTACAAAGAATGGCAGTCCATCTTCCACTTAAAGTTTTAATAATTTAAGGCTTGATCCTGCCATAGGTTTTGCTTCTAATACTCACACTGACTTCAGTGGGAGTTCGGGATATGCATCATGTGGTAGTAATATGCATTCTGGGCCAGATCCTGAAATGGATGTTTGGCATTGAGTAAATTCCATACTCAGGAGAATTCAACATCAGAGGTTGATCTTCTAACTCAGTGGTTCCCAAACTTTAACAACCTGGGAACCCCTTTCACTAAAATGTCAAGTCTCGTGAACCCCCTCCTAAAAATGAATATTTCCAGGGACTTTCTCCTTTACCTGAGTATAAATTATAAAAGCAGTGATCTTGGAAATAAAAAATTTGTTTTTATGACATGCTTATTACACACTATTTAGTATTAATTATTATTTATCATTACAGTATTTTTATTACATTATGAAAATGGCAACACTCTTCCAAGATATCACTTTCGTAGCTTGTATCACTTTGGATAAGGCTGTTATAAGACAAGGCTCCTATGTTTCATCAAGGAGTATCAGATGTGAAACAGCATGAAGGTATTTAAGAAGCCAACTCGGAGTTCCTCCTACACAAGCATTCAGGTCTTGAGCAGTCCAGGCAAACAACGCATGTTACAACAAAGCTTAAACTTGTTCTTCATAATAATTTTAAAAACAATACTAGCTGCCCATTTAATTTTAAAAACAGCAAAAAAATATCCACCTCCCATTCCATTTCTTATAAGGAGTCTTGAAGTTTAAATCTCCTCAGTGTGATAGATATGCTTGCTTTGATCTGCTTAGCTCTTGGAAGTCCTGGGGCTCCGTGCTGCCCAGGGTCTCTAGGGACAGCTCTGTCCGCCATTAAGGAATTTTTTCCTGAGAACCTCCTGTAACATTTCATGAACCCCAGTTTGGGAACCACTGTTCTAACTGAAAGCACATAGATGGAATACCTGAAGTGGATGGTGTCACAGCGCAGGTACACAAAGAGTTGAATCAGTTTTCACCTACAAAACAACATGACTCAATAGTTATGTGATTCTATCCATCTCTCCTGTGTTGTCTTCACTGAGCTAGTTACACGCTGAGTAGAAACAACCTGTAACTTGAGCTGTATTTCATAGTATTATTGATTTCATAGTCAGGTACCTAGAGATACAGGTATGAAGGGCCCTCCACGGAAGT